ACCGGTCTGAAACAGAATATAAAATACATCCAGACAATGTCATGAAAAAAGGAATTCTTATTACTTAGAATTGGGATTTCATGTTAATCTTGCTAACCCTGAATCAATGGTCATTTAGTGAAAAGTGTGGCAGGCTCTAAATATGTCTCAATTTCAGGGAAAAAATGCACTGGGTACTCAATAAGATTTGTTATAACAATTAATAAAAACAAAAAATAGATAAAAGTGTATATAACACAATAATACTGCTGGGCACAAATTATAAGACAAAATGTTTTAAATTTGCATTGTTTATTGAAAATCATACTAAAACTACTGCACTATTTAACATATTACATGATCATAATATGACTAAATTGTTCAGTATAATTTTTCTTAGAAGCAAATGAAGCTCTTATTTGATAGCAAAATGATTTATTAATAATGTGCTTGTGCCATGCATCTTGTCCATATACAATTTCTAAAGTTTCAGTAAATTATAAATTTTATGAAGCTGTGCTATAAGACATTCACTGATCACCAGAATTAAATTCAATCACTATGATTTTGTGCCTAATCTTAATCTTTAATCTCATTTCCTCAAAAAATGGTAATAATTGAGCAAAAACTATTTTGTGTCATTATTTATCAGGTCAAACCACAACTTTCTAATTGATTGTAAAACCACAATTCCAAAATCGATTATAGTGATTCTATAAGTGTAGCTTAGACACAGCACAATATGCCATGTCTAATCTACACTTATAAAATCACTATAAAAGATTAGACTCTCTTTTATTCATTTTATGTCACTATCCACCAAGGGAAAAACCAGCTCAATGTATGTCTTATTTTTCTCTTTGTTTTATTTGGTTTTTTACTTTCTTTAGTTAATTTCTAAATATTTCCATACTGCCATTCGATTTGATGGTTCTATAGCTTCAACCACTGCTGGGAAGCCATGTTTTTACAAATAACGATTTTGTTCTTGAATTCCAGAAACTGCATCATGGTGGGCAACTAACAATTCCCTCAACAATCAAATGATTGGTTAAATTTCTGTTGTCCTTCATATCTTAACATTTTTGTTTTTATAATGTTTTATCAAATGTTTCCACCATCCAAGAAATTAGATTGTCTGTTTTGACCCCCCACTCCAAGAAAAAAACAAAAAATAAAAAGAATGAAGAAAAAAAAAATAACAGATGTACTTTGGTATATGTAAATTAATTATATATTGTGAACTTTCACATCAATTTCAATGTACGAGGGCCTAACAGTTCATTTGTTTTAGATCTGTATCACCAGACTGCCCACAAACATGATTTGTTTCTTAGGGTGAAGATTTATATTTTAGAGTTAATGATAGTAGAGAAATGGTGCACACTGTGCTACAAAATCTTCAAACAGCCCTCCTCAAGTTTGAGTTCAGTGTTTCTGTCTCCTAAACAAGTTGAGAGAGAGAGAGAGAGAGGGGTTGCAGTGTGCCCCTACTGTTTAACCCATAGTTGTGGGAGAAGAGATGGATGCATACTTTTCCCAGGGGTATTTGTGAATAATTGAATGTAACAAATAGCCAGATTTCAAATTTAGCTTGCTGATTTCTTTCTCTCTGAACTGCTACTCACCCATCCACATATCCATTGTAGCAGGAAACAATTTCTTCTGTAACACAGACACTGGAACAACACTCGCAAGTGACTCTGGTTTAGCACACATCACAATGAACCAACTGGACCTGTGCTGAGCGCAAAAGCTTACTCCAATCCCAACAACCACTTGCCTCTTTTATTCATTTTGCCAAGCCAGAAAATTATCATCTTGCACACACTGCCATCCTTGGTTTGGCTCAGTGACACCTGTGCTCTGTCATTCCAACACTAATGCTTGTATGGTCTGCCTTGCTCAAAATTTGCTTGTCTTATGCACAAGTTTAGGCTATGCCATTCTGGCCCTCTTGGACCTCCAAGGTAATTGTCTATCACACACACACACATACATATATGATGGACTCTTCAGTCGATTTTGACATATGAGATTCTGACAACTTCATTCAGTTTCATGTTTTCTGTTATATTTGACATTTCAGTCTTGCATACAAGTCCACATATTGTGCAATAGTGAGGATCTTGAAATATTTGCTGACACTTTTCATTGTTGTCTTTTCTATTTTAGCCAGTCAATAGAACTGATTTCAAGATTTCTTATATCATTCTGGCAGAAATATCTCGAGTTATTTCTATCCAGGGCAACTCGCTCAAAGTTAGTATGACACATGTTGACAGCTGGGAGGGTTACTCTTTAGCTTGTCTTTATACCGGACCCACAGCAGTCCAACAGTCCTTTGTACACTGTCAAGCTAGCTATACATGATGACCTTAGGTATACATACATATATATATATATATATATATATATATATATATATATATATATATATATATATAGATTTAAAAAAACAGCATATATTTTTATATATAGTGTTCAATATTAAAAATATTAAAATAATATTAACATGTTAATATTATTTTAATATATAATATATATTTGAGCATTCATACATTATATGGTGTGAATACATATGCATATCTTTGTGAGTAAGTATGTATGGGTATATATGGTGTGTATATCTCTGTATATTTTATTTGTAATTATTAATGTCTTTCGTCCTCGGTATGATGTTAAACGGCATCCAATATCAAGGTCTCTGATCAGGAGGTTTTGAGGAGCGTAGAACCACCTCTTAATTGCTGGTGTTCTCAGCTCCACCCTGACCTGGGGTGGTAGCACCTGTTAAGGTCCCAGCTATGGGCAAATAGTGAACTCCCAGTCTAGCCTACGGCCATGGATATGACAATAAACTACATTCGAGTCCATGGATATGACGATAAACTGCATCCGCGTCCATGGGTATGATGGTAAACTGCATCCACATCCATGGTATGACAGTAAACTGCACCCGTGTCCATGGGTATGATGGTAAACTGCATCAGCGTCCATGAGTATGACAGTAAGCTGCATCCACGTCCATGTGTATGACGGTAAACTGCATCCATATCCTGGGTACGCTGATAAACTACAACCACATATTGAGTATAGTGATAAACTACGTCCAGCTGAAAGGCCATTTTTGAAAAAATAAGGTTGTTGGCTATACGTTTTTGGGAAAATAGTATTACCAGCTATAAGTTTTTTAACAAAACCTTATTCAGTGGAACTGTAACTGGGGTCAAAGCACTGCAAAAGTGTAAAAATGGGTGTTAATACCAGAAACTCTTTGGAAAAAATTATTACCATCAATACATTTTTGAAAACCAAATGTTGCCAGCAATGCATTTTTGAAAGGAAAAACCTAAACAAACCTTAAAACACAAAGTAATCCAATGAACCAAACAGGAAAACAATGATCACAAATACACATAAGATACTTCAATGGAACTGCAGAGGAATAAATAAAAAAATTATTACCAGAAATAAATTTTTGAAAGAAAAAATATTACCAGCAATACGTTTTTGAAAAGATATGTCAGCTATACGTTTTTGAAAAATACTATAACCAGCTATACGTTTTGGGGAAAATACTATTTCCAGCTATATATTTCTGAGGGAAGAGATATAGAGAGAAATGGATTTCTAACAAAACAAAAATATCATTGGAAAAAAAACAAAAGTCGTCGGCATTAAATGACCCATTGAGGTTGATATGCCATAAAACAAAACAAATATTGATGTCTTTGAATTTCATAGATATTACTACTTTTCTGAACGTAAATCAACATTTTACTTTGATTTTGGAAGGAAGGTTTTTTGCTTTTTCTTTGAGCATAATAGGCTTCATTAACTTGCGTTGTGGAATGAAACATCAGGCTTCCTCTCGGCTATCAGTCCACTATTCTGTGTTGATAATGGTAAATCAAACATAGGAAAAGCTTCATCAGCATGACTCACCTGTAATGGCTGTCATAACAAACACTTTTTTAAAAACTAAATTCCACAATGTTTTACAATCAGCTGTTTTATTTTTAATGTTGTATTTTGTGACAAATAAGATACACCAACAGGTAGAATACACCTTAAATTTGGCTTGAAATATGTCTGCAAAATAAAATTATTCAGAAATTTCCTGTCACCTTCTCCAGTTCCTGGAGAAAATTCCTAAATTACAAGCTTGACCGCGACACATGATCTTTATCGTGAAAGGCTCAGGGGGATTTTGAGGGAGTCAGAATTTGAAAAAAATTTAAGTGCTTCTTATATAATGTTGATGTTTTGATAAATCAGATTGAACTTTCAAGATGACATTTCTTGCTCCAAGATGACCAAAAGGTATGTGTAATTTCTTTTATACTAAGCTTTATTCAATGCACGACTCAAAAGTCATTCGATATAGAAGGTTACTGTTAACATGATTATGACAAATAAGGTGTATGATATGAATGAAAGAGGAGGGGGTACGAATTAAAGCTTATGAGGATAAGGAGGATAGATAGCAATTGACCCTTGAAGTTTGTAGCATAGAGGATTAGTGTTAAAATGCTAATGATGTATGAGGTGTGTGATATGAGTGAATGAGAAGATAGGAAGTAAAAATTATGAAGATAAGGAGAATAGATAACAATGGAACCTTGATTTAGGATTGTAATATTCAGGGAAGCATCCACATGGGAGGCTGTTCCACAAATTACATTCTTGGGAAAAAGCTTTTCTGAATGGAACTTTCTCTTTACATTTGGATTGATTTGATTGATTTATCTGTTTTCTATAGTTTATCAACATTTTACAGGTTATTTAAAGCCAGAAAATAGTTTTTAGATTGTAAGAATTTTTTCTTTTAGATAATAATGATTTAGGGATAAAACTCTTAGTAATTTACCCATAGCTGGGGGAAGAAGAGGTGGATTCATGCTTTTCCCAGGGACATTTGTGTTTATGTGAATATAATGAACCTGATTAGAATTGAAACTCAGCTCTCTGATTAACAATTCTGATCCATTATCTATTACACCACCAGCACATCCAAGCTTGCAGCAGCTGGTATTCCCAACTGGTCCCCCATCTAGGTACTGACCAGGCTCAATGTTGCTTAACTCCAGTGACTATATGGGAACTGATGTTTCAACATGATATGACTGTAAGCCACTTTAAATTTGGAACATAGAGAAAATTAAGGTAATCTGACTCCATGAAAGTAGCATGGAGTCTCCGAGCTGTAAACATCCAAACTGATGGAACTAAAAAATCTGGCTCATTTGAACATTTACCATTGTTGTAACCTAGGAAAAGGTTACTGAATAAGAATAACCAAAACGAAGGTTGGAAATGGAACGATAATATTTATAACAGGAACAACATACAAGATTCACTAGTGGTGTGTAGTAAGTAATCAACTGCTAGTGGTAAGCTATAAGTGAATCAAGGTGAATTGCAAGTGAATCCAAATGACTACCACATACAGTATATTCTACTGTATTTATAAGGGTTGGGATATATCCATTATAGTCCATGGGTAAGGTATAACAACCATCAAAATAGTGATAGAGGTTTGATTGCAACATTGCATCTATTTGAAAGAGGTTGCACAGTGGAGAATCAGTCTTCCCCGCAAAATCTATATAAATCAAATTGAACACTATCAAGGCTAGAAAGTTAGGATTGTGTAGCTCCAGCCTAGATAGAGCAGCAATGCTCCATTTTTGATTTACCTTATATACTTGTGTTTAAGCCTACTTAATGTATAGTGCAACCTCTGAAGTGTTTTGTAAAAAATCAACCCCTAGCTTCTAAGCAATACTAGTAGGCCTACCGTAATCAAATATTTCAGTACTGGGCATTATCCTGGACATATTTTATAGCAAATAAATGGTCTTCATTCTTTTTTATACAAATCTAACCCAAAATGGTGAGAAAAATCACTTACTGTAAAATATCTGATATCATACTTTTGTTTTCATTCATTATGATAACTCCTTTACCCTGGGCCTGTCTCCTACATACCATAAGTTTCTTCCCTTTTGTCGCTATATGAAGAGCAAAACCTCATCCATTATTTATGCCGCTTAAAATCAACAAACACCTTATATAAATGACTAGCTTAAAAGCCACACTCCATATAGACTTTTAATCTAGTTTCTGTGGAGGGCTAATTGTGCCTCAGGCCCAAAACTGAAGGGACCTCTGGACCAGCTTAGAAAAAAGAAAATGATAATTTTGAAGAAATAATTTGAATCCCTCAATTAACCCTATGGAACTTCAAAACTTCACTTTAACTCTGATTTGGGCTATGAGTCCAATTCGAGCCAAAAGACCAATTTGGGATAAAAATTGAGTTCTTCAAATCACAAACTTCATGGAACTTCAACTGAGTTGAGTTCTTTAAATCACAAACTCTGCAGAATTCAAAACTACATGTCATAAAACCTCTTACTTTAACTCCACTTCTTTGGCATTTTGAAGAAATAAAATTGATTTCCTCAATTCACAAAGTTTGGGAGATATTTTAAACTGAATTTAAAACAAATTTTTTTAAATTCACAAAGTTTTTGTGTTACTATATCTATATAAATTAAAAACTTTTCAAGTCACTAATTTTTTTCAATTATTTTAAAATTTGAATTTTTAACTGTTCCCTCCTCATCTGGACACAAATTCCAATGCTGGATGTTCAAGAACCAGATGAAGGGCAGATTTTCAACCCTGAGATCATTCTGATTCCAAAAAGGTATAATATGTCTATTTAGAGCAAGTGTGGCCTAAGTTAGAGGGTTTTCAGACACACAGAAGGATAAATAGAATTTGCCGTTTACTTATTTAGAAGAATTAATAGATTTTTTCCTATCTCAAATTTACATTCAGTTTTGTTTTGCAAGTCTTTACATTGCTGCTATATTGCCTTACAATGGCAACCTTTTTGTCGGGATTATGCATACATAATGCAGAGTGTCTCATGAAGTGAGGTACATACTTTGGATAAATATAAATAAATAGAGGAAGACAGAATAAGAAACACAACTGAAACATATACGGCATAGATACATATCGGGCAAAAGGTTATCAGTTGGAAAAGCAATGTCTCAGCATGTGTGCAAATTGGAAAAAGTAAAAAAAAAATTGTTAATTCTTCATTTTTTTTAAGGTATTTGTAGATTTTAAGCATCACAAATAGTTAATGATGCTCTGCGGTTCATGTAACAACAGAAAGAAAGAATCTAGGTTATGGGATGCAGCCTAAAGGATCTTACCTATATCATTATGTTTAACCAAAGGTACCATGAGAATATAGGTTACGGTCACCAAAAATGTATGAATTTTAACCCCTCCAGAAAAAAATTACCTTTGTATAGTGTAACCAGTCACTGAAAATGCATGATATTTAACCTTTTCAAAAAAAATTATCAGTGTATAATGCAACCCCTCGTCCCTGTTTTTTTTGTGTAAGAAATTGATCATAGAAATTTGCTCTATACTTGACTATATACAGTCATCTAAATGTTGTAACATTAAAGCAGGGTAGGAGGAGTCAAGTAGTTCCTGGGGTGACTGAATGAGATGGAAGTGTTCAAAACACTAAGGTATTTCAAAATACAGACATGCCTTGTCATCTTTTTGCTATCTCTACTGAACTAGTAGCCGAAACACTAGCAAGATGGAGTGTATTCTGACCTTTAATGATATGGCTATTATAATCGAGATTTACCCACTCTTGTGTCAGTACAGACTGAGCCATAGATCTTCTTGTGTATGAGTTTTATACTCCAATTGCTCTTATTTCTGTTGCTATGAAATACATATACTGATATATTTATTGTCTATCGAAGCAATTAACTAACTCCTGTCTCTCAATTTGCCCGGGAACAGCAGCTGAAGTCATTAATCATACAACTCTCTGAAGACACATTTATTGTAATGAACTTAATGTGTAGACATAGAGGATGCTGACATCAGCATTGACAAAGCATGGCTGTGTTATCTGGAAAATATGAAGATAGCCAAAATGGTTATAAATACAACCAAAATTTGAAGATAGCCAAAATGGTTATAAATACAACAAAAACAATATTCTATTTTTTTTTTATAAAAGGAAAAAGAAATAAAAAGAGTATAATAATGTATGCAAAAAAACTAAGCTAAAGTTAAATAATACTTTTGGAACTGGAATCTAATTATAAGAAAACTGACATTATTTTTATCTTGTTCAATTCTAATACTTATTCATATTTACTTATAGAAGGGGTATGTGTTGTGTAGTTGTGCATATAATAATAACAGGGATAGTATTTGGCCCCAAAATGGTTGACCAAGGCAATTCTGGATGATAACATTGTTGAAACATATAAATATAGTGCCTAGTATCAAATGATTGATAATAATAAATAAATAAAAAAATTAATTAATTGATCATTTATGTTTCATGTCCTGGATAAGACATTAAACTACATCCACATCCTGGGTAAAATGATAAACTACATCCAGGAGCAAGGCCTCTGATCAAGAGGTTTTGAGGTGTGTGGAACCACCTCTTAATTTCTGGTGTTCCCAGGTCCACCCTGACCCAGAGTGGTAGCCCTTATTAGGGTCCCAGCTATGGGCAAATAGTTAACTATCACCAGCAATACTTTTTTGAAAAAAATTATTACCAGCAATACAATTTTGAAGGAAAAATATTACCAGAAACAGATTTTTGACAAAACAAAATATTACCAGCAATAAAAAATGTTGTCAGCATTAAATAACCCATTGACATTGATATGCCGTAAAACAAAATAAACCAAACTAAACGACTCTTCAGGAGACTTGATTTGAAACACTGAGACAAGATATGTGAATATTTAACTTTATTTTTATATATATATATATATATATATATATATATATATATATATAATGATAAAAATATAGTTTTATGGCATGCTATATTTCTGTTTTAAAGTGCTCAATATCAGGAATAGAGCATTATTTACATTATTCAGACTATTGTCCTCATCTTTGTCGCCATATTTATTGCAACATTTCAGCCATTGTATGCTCTGGCCTTCTTCAGGTGGTTGGAATGTTGAACTGAACCCTCAAAGACACATGGCACAGTTGATAAAGGCGTTAGTTAGATCCAATGACAGGACCCAAAGAGTGTAAGTTCAATACCCGGTTAAGACAGTGGAGTACTTTCAGAGGGAAATTAACAGAAGACGACTGATAACTGACATTCATTAAACATGACACGTGAAACTAGAACAGTCTACCCCAGTGAGCGAAATAAAGGGTTCAGTTCAACATTCCAACCACCTGAAGTAGGCCGGAGCATACAACAGCTGAAACGTTGTAATAAATATGGCGACAAAGATGAGGACAATAGTCCGAATAATGTAAATAATACCTCATCTCAGAAATATAGACAGATACAGGGATAGAGCATATGTAAATATAAATCAAAACCTACCAAATTCCATCCACAATATACTCGTAGAAAATAGAAGCATAATAACCTCATCCACATGTAAAAAAAGATTAATAATAATGGAAGCACTAATAATAAAAAATAAAAAGCCAACACTCAATGACATTAACTATGAACATGGTTACAATGTGCTGACCATCTTTGGAAAATAAAACATTCCTATTACTTCAGACACATACATAAAAAACCCATATATTCAGTTAAAAATAAGGAATAAAAGTCACCCTTGATAATGCTTAAAAGAATAGCTGAAAGTGCTTTAACATGCACAACTTTTGGACAGTTTCTACACATTTTGTGTCCAGAAAAGGAAACACTTGTATGAACACAAGAAAAATTAAATAAGAAGTTTAATTGCAGTACCTTGTCTCAAAGTTATATATATATATATATATATATATATATATATATATATATATATATATATATATTATATTGGTTGTAACAGCATAATTTTAGATATATATTTTTGTGGATCATAAAATGTATTATTGGTAATTTTATTATAAAAATGTATTTTTATATTTCTTTTAGTATTGCATTGATCGTTACTTTTTTATAAAAAATGTATTGTTGGTCATTTTATTATAAAAATGTACTGTTGATTTTTGTTTGGGGGTTCACTATTTGCCCATAGCTGAGACCCTAACAGGTGCTACCACCCTGAGTCTGGAAGAACCTACG